CCCCCCGCCTTTGGGTGTTTTTTTTTTTCATTGTGCTCTGCATCTTATTTTGACAGCCAGAGCTTTTGTCTCTTCATTTCATTCTTAGAGGACAGAAGAATACGGGTATTTGCTAGGAGACCAGGATTTATTGCCCCATATCAGAGTTATTCTAGCAAGCCTAGAATAAAAGAGGACCCCATGGGATGCTTTTCTGTTTGTTGTCGTGACTAACATGTTCACTGAGGTATGAAGATCTCTGAATCAACAATTAACTCGATGCCCATCTGCTGCAGCTGGTATTACAACTTTTATGTATGAGATGTTTTGTGCTGATATTAACTAATATTCTCCAGTCTCCTCACCTTTTACTGTAGAAAGAGAGAACCCAAATATGAAGTTTGGGATTGTAATTTTAGCAGGAAGGTATATTTTTACCCCATTTTCCTCCCCCCAGAATTAGGTACACATGATCCTGGTCTTTCTGGTTTGTGCCTTGTCTGTGGCTGTGTGTGTGCCCCTATTCCTTCCAGCCCTCATCCTTTTTCAATCCAGCAGGGTGGAAGAGTCTGATATAAATTTCTGACTAGTGGGTGTGACTGGGCAGCTTCAGCAGAAAGATGCTATTATTGAAGTAAAAGGTCTGCAATACCAATGTAGCAATGAGCAGTCAGTAGAGAAGCCAGCCACAGACACAGTTTCATAGAAGACCCAGCCCTGCTGCTCGTGGATCTGCTCGTTTGTGAAGTCCTTAAGTCCGGCATGACTGGGGATTGTCCCCTTTCCTTAAAACAGGAAAATAGAAGGTTGGATTTTAGCCTTTGAGGCTGTGGCAAAAGAAGCAAAAATGTATGAACCTTGAAACTTCCAGTAATAGCAGAGCTCAAGGAAAAAAAAGGTTGGGGTTTGTGTAATTTTGCAATTTCTACGTGGGTGCCCTGTGTGTCGGACACTCAGCCTGGGAGGGCTCTCCTAGCCCACCCAAGGCACCAGCCTCGCAGCCGCTTCTGAGCTGCCCCTCTGGCTCAGGGCTGATATTTCTGCTGGCCTCGAAGCAGAGGAAGGAAGCGCAAAGGCAGGGGGGAGCAGAGAGAGGGCCAGAGACTGGCAGCTTTGGAGGGCTGGTTGGAAAGTTAGGGGGCACAGAGGAATGAGAGGGCACAAAGTTCCCAAAGCCCTTTGTGACAGGGCTGAAGAGTGGGTAGTTAAAAATATATCATGGCATTTCATTTAAGTTGAAAAGGAGGCAAGTGAAGAGGCAGAAATATGCTGGCATTTACATATTTAAAAGACAACTATTTGCCAGGGAAGGGAGTGACCCTAGAGTACAGGGAAATTAAGGGCAGCCTGCTGAATTTAAATAGGTTTCCTTATTTTTTACATAAACAAGTGAGAAAAAAGGTCAGTCTAAAATTCATCAGGTTGCAGAGAAATTTCATCTGAGGCTGCTGGCTCCGTGAACTCAGGAGCAGATGTATAAAGACAGTACGGGCAGCCTAAAGAGGCCATACCAGGTTGATCTTCACCTCACCCACCAGCATTTCTCGGCATTTCTGGTACCCCAAGAAGCACAGGCTGAGCAGCCAGCCCCAAATCCTCACCATCCTCACAGCTGCAAGCACTCCTGCCCATGCCATGGCCAGTTGATGAGCAGAGCAGTGGCCAGGAGGAAAGAGGAGATGGTTTCCATGCTAAACTTGCACCCCAGAAGCATTGCTAGTAACTGGTTGAGCAGATTTTTGCACTGCTGGAGTTAAAGCTGAGTGAGCTTTGCAAAAATGGCAACAAACCAAACACAGTGCAGCAAAGCTAGGCATGACTTGGGGAGCAGCACAGGCAAATTTAGCCTTATGTCACTTAACTGTGATTGAACCCAGCTGGTGTTTAAAAAACCCTGTTTTTTTGTCCCCCAAATGTCCCCATGTAACCTATGGAGCAGGTCCATTTTCTGCTGATTTACTCCCTTTGGTCCTCTGGCCAATGTGTTCTTCTACTGAAATTTCATTCAAAAAGGACAACTTTTGTGTTTTAGTTAAATTCATGAGCGGATTCGAAACCCCAGGGATTAATTCAGCTATTGGTCTGGCTTTGGTACCAGAGGAGAAAAGCTCTTTTTCTATTGTTTATTCTTCATTCTTGTACATGAATAAGTTCCAAATTGTGCAAAGTGACATAACTCTTTTCTCAGTAGTAAAGGGCTATCACATTATAACCAAACATGTCAGAAAAGGATTCGGTCAGAGATTGCCTGCCTGTAATCCCTGCACTTGTATTCAGTGGTGAAAACAGCAGAAAGGACGGTCTGGCTTCTTAACGCCACAGATTTCAAGGCTAAAAGGCCATTTCCATGTAGCATTTACCCTGGGCACGGAAAGTCAATTTTTATTTTGCATGGTTTGAAATTATCAGAAGTTGGATTTTATTCTGTGTAACCTCTGTGTCGTTTTTGTGAAACCCAAATCAGAAGCACTTTGCTGAAGGAGGGCTTGATAATGCAGACAAGAACAAAACTGGTGGCAAAATTTCCTGGCCCCCCCCCCCCCGGATAAAATCAGTGCAACTCTTGGTAATCACGTGGGCTGTACTGGCAAGGACATCTGTGAGGGTCTTATTGGCAATTTTTGAATATAAAACATTTTCTCAGTCTCAGGAAAGGGCTTGAGCTGACTTTGGTCAGTTTATTGGCCATATCTCCTCCTGAAACCGGATGGCAGTGTTGTCTCCTCTCTAGACCAACCCACTGTCCTGCGCAGACAGGCATATCCCAGCTCCAGAGAAGCTGCCCCACAACAACTTTTACCCACTGCGATGCTGACACTTTTAATCCTTAAAGGATTTAACTTGCCTAAATCAGCTTAACAAGGTGAAGTTTTTAAAAACTGGGTTTGCTGAGAGCTGTTAGCCTCCTGGTGGGCTGCCGGGGTGGGCTGTACTGGTGGTGGGGAGCTTCCCGGAGCTGCTCGTGCACACCAACATGCGTGGGGGCACGGGTGCCCTGCAAATCCACATCCAAAAAGCTGTATCAAGATTCCCTGCATGTGCACTAGCATCTGGACCCAAATGCAGTGCATGCACAAAACGTGGCTGTTTATGCTTTGTATTGCAGCTCAGCTTTTCATTCCTATGCTCCAGAGCTCTGGGAAGGGCTATTACGCCCTTTGTAGTAAGATGGAGCAGGGACAAGCAAGAAAAGGTGCCATGGCCTCTTTCTTCTATTTAGCCTCCCTCCGCTAACATCCCCTGACATCCGCAAGCACAAATAAACATGTGTGTGTGTATTACCCAGGCTGTGTATGTGTGCACGAAGGTTTTTTGCAGCTATCAGTATACCAGGCCAATGCTAGCGATCAGAGCTTCGGAGCTGCAAACCTTGCACTGCATGATCTGGATCTCGTGTATATCGAAGAGATGTGTCTTTGCTCAAATACCCCGTCCATATGCCTGCCATGGCCAGATCCTGACCAGAGCTATACATCCCAAGGTGTCCCTGGCAGGCTGCAAACCAGCAGCCTCTGCTGGGACGGCTCTGCTAAACTGGGGAGCTGCTAAACTGGGACCGCTTACACCTGCCTCCATGACTGAGTCTCCACAAGTTGCACCAGTGGTGGGGTTTTACGAACATGTCTTTAAACTGGTTTTGCCTTCTGCTGCCCAGTGCATTAAGCAGAGCATTAATAGATGTCAAAGTGCTTAACTAAAGCAGATGAGTATCATTGCTCTGCTTAATGAACAGGGAAAATGAGGCATCGCATCTGCGCTAGACCTGGGAACTGAATTTGTGGTTCCTGTGCCCGTGTCCTCTTCCAGGAGCCATCGCCACCTTCGTAAGGAAATGCCACCCCCTCCGCAGCGACATGCCCCCTCTGGAGGAGCCTACACCCACAGTGCCAACCACCGCCGGGGAGGCACTCCCACCTGCCTGCCCATGCCCACGGCATTGCCCACTCCACGCCAGAAATGCCCCACGGCAGAGAGAGGGAAACACTTACGTCTCCAGCGGGATCTTCGTCTGGGCCCTGGCAGAGGGCAGGAGGCAGAAGAGCCAGAGCATCATCCACGGGACAGCCCAGGGCCCCATCCTCCACATGCCAACCATCAGCAAGGGGACCGGCCGGTGGGATGCGGGGGTTCCCTGCTCTTCCTGCTGCCCCTTGGGGGGTCCCACACAGCCCCTGCCATGCTGCCGGGCTGGGTGCCCTGCCGCTGCGGGGCCGAGCCCCGGGGTGACCCTGGCCGCCTCCGCCCCGGGAACGTCGGTCCTGCTGCGGGGTGCCGTCAGGGGTCTCCGGTGCAGGGTGGGCAGCCAAAAACCCGCCGGGGACCCTCGTCGGCGGGCACCCACAGGTGCGGTGCGTCTCTGCGCCCCGAGGAGCGGCCGCGCGGGGAGGGAGCTCCGTGCCGGGAGCCGCAGCGGCTACGTAATCCCCTGCCAGCCCCTTAATCCCCTCGCCAAGCAGCAACAGCCGCAGATTTAGGGAAGTGGAGTGGGATAAAATCACCCAGGATTACTCTGATTCCTGAAGACGGGTCTCGGCTTCTCCAGCCGGAGGTCAGGCTGTGCCTGCTTTAAAGGGGTCGCATCCACACCCCCCGAAAAAATCCCTGACCTTTGATGTCTGTCCAGAAGGGCCTCCCTGTCGCACCACAGAATGCTGGTGGGTCGCTCCGGCAGGTCGCCCCAGCACCATCTCCTCCCCACTGGGGACCTGGGGTCGGGACCAGGTGCGTGGGGCATGTGGCAGGCTCCAGCAGCTTTGTGCCGAGGTTTGCACAGCTTGGTGCTGAGGTTTGCACAGGACCGATGAGGCCGGGCAGAGCCGGTGCCTCGGCAGCATCCAGCGCAGGTCCTGCCGAGGCACTCGTCCTCCAAGCCATGTCTGGGCACCTCACACAAGCAAGAGGAGAGGAGGGAAAACGGGCAGTGGGAAGCAAAAATGGCATGAAAAAAGGAGTCTGCTGGTTTTAACAGATCACTTCCTAATGTGAGTGATTATTTATTAATAGTCGAACCTTTTCATTCGGGCAACATTCAGTTGAGGTTGCCATCCCCTCATCTGTGTCTGGAGACCAATGACTCAAAGGAGCCCAATGGCTGAGCTTGATGAATAGCAGCAAGTAGCAAACTGCACGCTCGGATGAGGGGCACGCTATATAAGCTCATTGTCACGAGACGTATGAACTATAGATAGGGCAGCGGAAAGATTATAAATGACTAGAGTGACAGTTTGACTCTATGGTTATGAATTAACCCATTTATTAGAGTATCTTCCAATCATCTTTTGCACCTTTATAAATGGCTTATTTAATATAAAATGCAAAGCCACGCTAGATCGTTAGGTTTCTCGTACAGATGTGGAGGGGGAAACTGGCTGCCAAACACTGAAGTAAAACTAAGGCACTTATTAGAGATGTGCTACTGAGTGCAGTGTTGGTGCCGCACATTAAATGGGATAATAGGAGTGGCAGAGGAAATACACAGAAGGGAATAAAACTGTGAAACATGGAATTAGAGGTTAAATTGCATGATGAAGAGGCTGAAAGCTCAGGGTGAGCAATTAAGTAATTACAGGAATAACTCACCTCAGGATAGTATAGTTTTGTCATTTATTACAATCTTTACTCCAGACTGAATATCTTTTTGGAAGTTACGATCTTCTTCAAGCAGAGGTTGTGAGCCCAAAGGGCAGAAATTTCCAGATGATGTTCTTAAGTCTGTGCAAAGGGTTACACAGGAAGGTTGAAATGGTTCTTTCTGACCTTAAAATCTACAAAAAATCAATTTCTACACACACAAACACTCTAGAGACAGTGCCTTCAGGGTACCACATGGCTCTACAGCAAATGCTATAGATAGCATATGAAGGCAACAGGCAGAGCAGATCTGGATCTTAGTAATGCATTTCTCAAATGGCCAAAATGTGCTATGGGGGCTCTCACCCTGAAAAGGGGTACATACAGACCTGGACAGCCCCAGGGGGAATCTGGAGGTGAGGACAGTACAGAGAAAGGTCTTCCTCCCAGAAATGCTCATGGCAGACACAGGGTGCCGTGTGTTGCCCATGGGAGCAGAAGGAGCTGATTGCCTTTCCCCTGACTGACCTCATGCTGCTGGGACCAGGGCCCATGGGGATGGGCTTCTGCTGCCTCCCCCTTTGTCTGCAGCCTGAAAAGAGAAGAAGAAGATTGCTCTTAGGGGAGCTAGGAAGACTGATAATCAAGGTCTCATTTCTCCATGTTTACCAGGATTAAAAATGAGGGGTGGCATCTTGGGTGGCAGGCTTCCCTGTCTGGATACTTCAGGGAAGAGATGATGAAAATTCGTGTTCTGAAAAAAATCTGAAATGAGATCTGAAGGCAGGAGAATCAACATTTTAGATAGCATTTTCACTCCACTTTGCAAAGAACCATATCAAATAGTTATTGTGAGTGAATTTTGCAGCTGGGACCCAGTTTAATCCAGATGGGTTCTGGCGAGAGCCCTTGTCTGGGTGTGTTTGGAAAACCCTGAAACACTGATAGAAAAGGCAATGAGACACAGCAACATGCTGAACTGGGAGATCCAAATCCCTTTATATGGATTTATCTTGTTTACTGGATATATCTCATTTAACCCCTTAATGATCTAAAGTTGCAATGGAGATTTGAAGATGAAATGAAAATAGCAAAGAAACTGAAAAACCCCAGGTGACTAGAGGGCCCTTAATGGGATTAGTGTGCATCCAGTTACTGCTGCAGAGCTCAGCCACCACAGTGTGAGAGCACCGTTGGAGCACAGGGAGGAGATAAACGATGGCAGGGTCTGACTGGGGAAAAAGAAAATGAATCCTATGAGAAAGAATGAAAGCAAACACATAACAAGGAGTGAGAATTTAAGGCTTCAAGAGATATGGGGTGCACCAGTACAGCAAATTAGAGCTAAATTTGCAAAACCATGGAGCAATAAAAAAATGTCAGTGTGATTTTGTGCTCTATTCACACGCAGGCGGAAGATTTACCAGCTCTATTAATTTCTGGTTTGACTAGAACCCGAGTTCAGTTTGGATTATCTTGTTATGAGAAGATACTGGCAAATGTCATGACCAGCCAAAGAACAAATATCATCAAAACACTGGTATAAGCAGTGTATGTGAAGAATTTATTAAACAGTAGAAATCCTGACCTGGAAATGCCTGAGCAGACTAACAGGTAGTTTTACAGTGGGATAAATATAAGGAGAATGGGGTAAAATGAAGAAAGGGGAACTCTACACTGAGCATCAGAGAAAGCTGATTAGAAAGATGTGCTGGGCATGGCACAACCTCTTGAGGCAACCTCTCTCCATGTAGTACTAGTCAATAAGGCACATTTTAGCCTTATAGTAGCAGCCAAGTGTCTCTTTGTAAGATAGTCAGCAGGAACAGGGGATATGGCAACAACCTTGAACACAGCAAAGAGAAGAGTATGCAGCTTTGGGGAGATGAAGAGCAGATCATAGGATCTGTTAGGTTGGAAAAGACCTTTAAGATCATCGAGTCCAACTGTTAACCTAGCACTGCCAAGTCCACCACTAAACC